CTAGTTCACAGTCTATGATTAAACGCTCAGTTGGGAAAATTTTGCTAATAAGTTAACTGAGAGCTTTCAGATTTTTTATAGAGTAGCCACTTTCCAAATCCAGATTTATTCTCAGTCCTCAAAGGAAGTAAACATATCTACAAGGTGAGGTAATTATTATCACCAATGGGTGATTATAATTATATATATAATTATACAAACACCCATATGTTTACAAGACAGACTACTACAAACTTCTTTTCACATGCATGTGGGGAAATAAGCGTCTCAAACTAGCGGTCATATCTGGAACACAACAGTTAAGTAGGGACTGCACAGGAGAATAATGGGGTCCTAGGGTTTGTTCCCAGAAGTAATAGGTCTCACTGTGAGTGAGGAAATGCCACCAACCAGTGTAAGACCTGGTGAATCAGACTCCTGGGAATTCAAAAGGAAGAGACAAAGTGCAGACAATCAGAATCTTAGGAATGTACCACATCTTGGAGAAGGGAGCTAGCTATCCCTTAGTTTAAAAGGAGAAAAAAGGGAAAATAACAGCTCTATAAATTGGATGTTGATATAACCTGTACCCAATGTGCATAGGAGTCAAAGACTGGAACAGCTTAAATGACCTTCAGTGAATGGTTAAATAAACAGGTACACTAATACAGTGAAATATAATCAGCAGTACAAAGGAATCAACTACTGACTATATTTAGATGGATCTCAAAGGAATTATGTCAAATGAAAAAGGCCAATTCTCAAAAGGTCACATAATCTGATTCCATTTATTTAACATTCCTGAAATTAGTGGTTACTAGGATTAGGGATGGTGGTAGGGAGGGAAAGTGGATGGGTGTGACCACAAAGGGATAGCCCTAGGGATATATGTGATTTGGTGGAACAGCTATATCTTGATTGTAGTGGCAGTTAAAAAAAAAAACCTACATGTGACAAAATTACATAGAACACACACACAAGTGAGAGCATTTAGAAGTAAAATCTGAGTAAGATCTATGGGTTATACCAATTACCTGGTTTTGATACTGTACTGTAGTTACAGGTTTACCTCTGGGATCTCTACCTTTTTTTCCCCAACTTCCCATGAATCTGTAATGATTTCAAAGCAAAAAAGATTTTTTAAAGCACTATAAAATATCAGAAGACAGATCCTACCCATAAAAGGCTTTATTACTGAAAGATATCTCATTTCACAAAAACTACTTCATAGAGATTATTCTTGAACAAATCCAAACCCTTCACTTCCCATTTGATTACCTGGTACTGCTGGTAATGCAAAACACACATACAAAAATCACCAGAAAATATTGAAAGTCACTCTACAGAGAAAATTGAAAAGGAGAAGATTTCAGATGGATGAAGATGCTCAAAACAGAAAAAAACTGTTATTAACACAATATACTAATGAGTTAAGTGTAAATATAGATACCAAAAAAAAAAAAATCAAATTAGAAATTCAAAAACTCAGAACTGGACAAACTACATGAAAATGTGAAATGCCTGCTGATTGAAATCAGGAAAAAAAAATGGAAGAAAAAGACAAACATCTCAAAATTGAAGACAAAATGTATCTGATGAAGAAAATCAAAAGTAAGGGACATGGAAGACAAATTCAAAGAGCCAAGAAAATGAAACTGAAAGAGGTAAAAAGAAAAATCAGAGAAATGATAAAAAATTAGGCAAAGAAGATTTAACATACATAGAAGTAAACAGTCACTGAAAATAAGATGGAACAGTGTTTCTCAAAGTGGGGTAAGGCAAATCTGGTATGAGGGACAATCTAAGATAATTGGACTGGCCTCTTCAAAAAGTCAATGAATGGTGGGATTTAAAAAAAAAAAAAAGATGGAAGAACTCTTCTAGATTTTTAAAAACCAAGGCAGAAAATCAAATACAATATATGACTGATTGGATCCTGGTTTTTAAAAGTGTAAGACATTCCTGGGACATCTGAGAAAATATGAATATGGCTGGTATTAGAGATGATTTTAAAAAATTACTGTTAACTTTTTGTTGTACTAACGGGTTTTTGTTTAGAAGGATGTCCTTATTCTGAGACAATGCATGCTGAAATATTTAGGGATGAAGTATGTTGTCTACAATTTCAGAAGTTTAGAAATAACATATATATGAAAATATACACACATAACAGTAAAATATAGCAGATTAGCAATTGGAGATGAGTCCAGGACTTTCAGTTTTCCTTTTTGTTTGAAAATATACATGATAACAGAAACAGCCCACACCCGCACAGTTCACTGTTAACATTACGATTCCCAAATCCTTTGGGGAAAACCCACCTATGCATGCACTCTTGATTTATCTAAGTGACATTCAAGATAATCCTTTTTATAAAAGTTCTGCAGTGGTGGCATCCCAGCCTCAAGTAATACCATCCTGCCTATTTAAAACATCTTCATTTCTATTTCACCCTTTAATTCTGTGTTCCTTTCACCATTATTAGGGAAGAGAATATGGGCTTTGTCTAGTGACAAAATCAATCCTCCACTTGTGAGACTATGTCACATTAAAAAAAAAAAAAAAATCACTCTATTTTCCGTCCTCTCCTGACAAGGTTTTTCCTTATGCAGGTTGGTTCCAAGATCCATCACTTAACAACTTTATACCAAGAACCCTCAACATCCTAACAACCTAATTTTCACTGCACCTTCTCTGCAAGATCTCAACTTTGCATCAGTCCAATTTGACAATGCACACCCCCAATGAAACCTCTTCCACAAAGCTTTTTCTTGATCTCCCATTCTGATGTGATCCATCCTCCTTAGAAATCTTATACCACTTTGTATTGCTGGTGTCCTAAATGTGCAATATCTCTGCCTCTGAGCCAGGGAGAAGTTTCTACCAATCTTTTTGTAATTATTTCTTTTATTATCTGTGAAGAAACTTAGAATTTTGTATATTTAATTTGTTAAATGGTTACATTAAAGGAACTGAGAAAAGAGCCATAGAACAGTTACTGTTTATGTATTATCTTTGTAATTTGATGAAAAGGCAATGTTTCTTAGATATTTCATGTGCTTTCTTCTCTGAAAAATTCTCAATTCTTGTCACTGAAACCTGTAAGCAACTGAGCAGCTTCTGTCTGTATCTAAAATGGAAAAACACATGTTATAAATAAATAGTACAGTATAGCTATCAACTTGCAAAATCTAATAAGTTCATAAAGTGGGTTGTGGTTTCTAAGCGTCCCCAAAAACCAGGGTAGCACATTGTAAAAATAAAACTGAACAGGGACTGGGTAAGACTCTTAGAGAATTCTTCCACATTACTACACATCGTTTGCCTTTTATTTTAGAAATCTTATTTGATCTGTCATGTATGTCAAACACGAATAAGGCAGCAAGTAATTCATAACATCTGTTGACAGTGTAACTAAACACTTGCTATACGGAAATTAACAGAAATGTTAATGAGTTTAATTTGAAATGCACACTACTGTTTTCAACAATATACATTTAGACAAATTATACTTTTAAAGAAGTTCTTAATTCACCTTTATTTAATAGTGCGCCTCAGTAGAAACCTATCGGCCTTAATTTATTGGGAGATACTTCACCTGTTTATCCTCCTCTGTGTGTGCTGGATAGTCCTTGGCTTTCATTAGCCAGAAGGCAGCAAGCTTTTTATTGTGTAACTTCAAATATGTCTTTCCTAAAAGAAGCAAGTTTTTGCTGTAGAAGTTTGGATCCACTGTACATAAGAAAGAAAAATTTATTTCAGATGAAACAGAACTGTTTTTATTTTTAAAGGCTCAGTTTCTTCAGTCTAAATTCTAATAATAAATTTGTGGTCAATATAAGATTAGGCTAACTAAAATTCTCTTTTGTTCAACTATTACAATCTCAAAAAAATATTGGTAAAGTACCATTTATTCAGTGCTATGTGCTAGGCATTCTATTACATTTCTCATTTTCATACAATTTTATAAAATAGGTACTCCATTTAATAGATGAGAAACTGAGGTTCCTGGTAGAATGTATGCTCTATAAGGATAGGGGTTCTCTTTTTATTAATGTCTTTTATTCCCTGATATATCCTAAGGACCTAGAACATAACATGCACCCAATACATATATGCTGTATGAATGAACAAAATCATGATATATATGCATTTGACCTTTAACCCAGTTTTGAACCGTGCAGGTCCAAATAAACGCAGAGTTGTTTTTTTTTTTTTCCATAAATAAAGTGCTGTAATTGTATTTTCTCTTATTAACATTTTCTCTAGCTTACTGTATTGTTGGAATACAGTTTATAATACATAGAACATACAAAATACATTTTATTTTAAACAACTGTTTATGTTATCAGTATTATGCTCCGGTCAATAATAGACTATGTAAGTAGTTAACTTTTAGGGGAGCCAAAAGTTAATTATATGCAGATTTTCAACTATGCAGGGGGTCGGGACCCCTACCCCCTCATTGTTTAAGGGTCAAGTGTACATACATACATTTGATTAACATTTACTGTATGTGGGTTATACTCAAATACAGATTTAACAAAGACTGTTCTTTCGGAATTTGTAATGAAGAGGAGAGGTAAACGAGCATAACTAAATGTAAAAGAAGAATGATAGAAATGCTTTGACAGGTGTACACATTTTAAAGTACACATTTATGAGAAAACAGAGAAACTAAGAAGTTACATCTGGGCTGCCTTGGCGGCTGAATAGGATTTTAACAGAAAAGTGGAGAACATTCTTGGCTCAGGGAAAACTGAACAAAAAGCCTATGAAAGCATGGGACTGTCTCACTAACTTCATTCATTCTTTATACAGATTCCTATCATCAACCTGGGACCTTCTATATTTAAAGCACACTTTTCCCTGGATATAATTTATGGTTAACTCCATTTGCTTCTTAACCCAAAATTGTTTTACTTCTTTAATTTGAACATATTTATGAGATGTTGTGTAGATGTACTTAAGGTTTCCTTGGGGTTCATCCATGCATCTGTTTATTCAGTAATTCAGCAAATTTGATAGCGTTATGCTAAGCACTGAGGAACAAATTGTGAACAAAATGACAAAGCCCGCATCATTCCCGAACTTAGTCTTAGACATGTAAACAATACTCACAACTCACATACTCATACTATGGAGTGATAAGGGCTATGATGGGGGAAGTAACAGGTACTAAGAGCCTAGGAGGAGCTTCTAAACCAGATATGGTCCATAAAAAAAGACCGCCTGGAGGAACTGACCTATAGGGTAAAAACCTGGAGGATGACTGGAGTTAACTGACCATGTTTTTCTCAACACCCCAAACGCTTAATTCTCTAAGGCCCTATTTTTACTTTGCAGTTATGCTCCTAAATCTCTTTGAGGAAACTTTATTCCCAGATTCATATTCATGATATAAAAACTACTATCACAACAGGTTAGCAGTGGAAGGCAGTAACAGAGCAAATCAGAATATTACTGACATAGTTTAACATTCAGACATAATTCTTTAGAAGAAATTAAAAAAAAAAACTTTTTGCTATCCTAAAAACATCTGAACAAATCCATATGAGTAGGCTCTCTAATACATAGTCTTTAATTTTCATCTAATTTTATAGAAATAGAATTGCAATGGTTTTCTTTTGGTGTATTTGGTAACATATGCTTATGTCCTTTACTCTTCTAGTTTGTGCTATTAATATTAAAAAGGATGAACTTGGGATGGGCTGGTGTCAGTTTTGTAGACTGGCCATTTCTTCAAAGCCAGGGTGACATGAAACTCTTCATAAAAGAAGACAATATTTGCAACAAAGCAAAAACTGGCCTGGTTTAAAAACAAGATCTCTCATTTAAATGCTTTTTGAAGAGAAAGGGTAAATCTTAGGAAAAAAAATTTTTTTAAATGTAATGTGACAGGTATTAACTACTATTATAATCATTTTACAACATATGCAAATATTGAATCCTTATGCTATACACCTGAAACTACTGTTATGTCAATTATAATATATACCTCAAAAAATTTTTTTAAACATTTAAATAAATGTTTCTAATCAGCTGTGTAATCTTAAATAAGACCATTAACTTGTCAAAGCCTCCTCTCAAAAAAGAAAGTTGAATCATATCAAATAAAGGACCATTCCAGAACTGTAGCTCTAAATTCAGTAGCAGCCCACTTCTTACTCTGGTGATTTTTACTGAATAAAGACGAAAAACTGATAATCTCTAGCGCAAAAAGAAGTATATTAGAATAAGTAACATTTTTGTTTTAAAAATTCCTATTATATCGGGGCGCCTGTATGGCTCAGTCAGTTGAGCGTCTGCTTCGGTTTAGGCCATGATGCTGGGGTCCTGGGATCAAGCCCCGCATCAGGCTCCCTGCTCAGTGGGGAGTCTGCTTCTCTCTCTGCCTCCCCCCACTTGTGCTCATACTCTCGCTCAAATAAATAAAAATAAAAATAAATAAAAATTCCTATTATATATAAAGCATTCACACAATTTTAAGTATACTAGTATATGAAATAGAAAAATGTTACCTTGCTCTGCCCTGTGAAAGTAGCCTAATGCCTGTTAAAAACACAAAGAGCCCAAACATAATGAAAAGGGTTATAACAGAATCAATATTAAAAAAACATTTCCTCAAAAGTCAGGAAGTAAATTAAAACATCTTAAAGGTCAATTCATCAACAATGTAAGTTAACACAGCAAAATTGAACATTACTAAATCATCAGAGCACAGATTACAGTGTATGGACCACTTCTAGTAATAACTTGATTGCTGTTTAGAACTTGTACCAAACCAGCATCAAGTGCAGAAAGGAAAGAACATTATCACATGCAACTCAGCTATTTTGATCCTTCTCTTCTTAAGTCATAAGTCACTACCCATAAAAACTTGATAAAATCAAAAGCTAAATTTACTCAGTGATACATAGGTTGTACCAATAAATTTTTTAAAAGTCCTTTATTATTGAAATTCCAACATAAAATGTTATTGTGAGTCTGAAACTCTTAGTTCTTTTTTGTCCCATTTAAACTGTTTTTATAATGTCTGATTTCCTAGAATCATAACTAATTTGTTATAGTAGAGCTGACTGACTGTATCTTTTTTCCTTAAAATACATTCTTTTAATAACAATATATATTTCCCAACAGTGTTCTGATTATTCAGCTAAATATTTTTGTATCAAATTCTACACCATAGCCTGCCAGAAGGAAAAAAATAGCTCCTTGTCATGACACAGGTACTAGGAAAGCTTCTTCAACGGCCTTATTTCCTTACTCTGAAAATTTTAGTGGTGTAAGTTACTCAAAATGTTTGCCCAGAAATCCCTTCCAAATTTTATTTTCAACAAGGAAGCAAAAGGCCTTGAAAATATAAGAGTATAAGCCTTTCAACCCCACTTTCTAAAAAAGTTATAATTATTCTTCCTTTATCTATACAAATACATGATTTTCCAGGTAAGTAACTGTTAGTGTGTAGAACACGTATGTAAAACTAATGCTATTAGTTGTTGAATTTCTTATTCTATTTTATGACTTTTATATGGTGTAGATTTCAAACAGAAAACAATGGCAGATTTTAGGCATGAGCTATTATTATAGCCGACAATATACCAGAATCATCAGACACTCACCTAAATTAAAAAAAACAACCACTCACCAGTCATAGATTATAAGTATTAAGCCTTTGTGATAAGATAGCTGCACTGGATGGTTAGAAACGTGCTCAAAGGCCTCACTGCCCAAAGCTCCAGATCTGAACACCGCAGAATGGCACTGCCGTTAAGAAATCAGTACTAGCTTAACAAAGGACAGCACACTACCTCCTCATAGGTGGAACTAGGAGGAGTTGCAAACAGCATTTTAGCAATTCTTCTTTGATACCAAGGCATTTCAGCAAATGTGTAACACCTATAAAGAAATAACATATACATCTCAATTGCACCTTTTTTTCTCTTAAAGAAAACTAAGCATCTTAACAGATATAAAAGGTATCTTCTTCTGTTGTACCTTGAAACACTCTGCACTTTACATAATATCCAGCAGGTTAATATTCCCACTGAATTATCTAGAGACTGATTTATATTGATCCATCAATTAGGATGTATCCTGTGATTAGATATAAGTAGTAAGCAACAATACTAGTAATGATTAACAGTATATATCATTCATCACTAAGTGCTCACTCTGTTCCAGGTGCTCAGTGATTATCTCTCATCTACTCCTTACAAGGAACTAAATGAGTTAGGATCATTACCCCTATTTTTTCCGGTAAGAAAAACTAACTCAGAGAAGTTTAAAAAAATGACAGAACTAAACATGATATGTATAAATAACAATGGCAAACAACAATTTAAGTCTGCCTATATAAAAGAATGAGGCAAATGATTAACATCCAAAGATCTTGACAACTTTCTGATCTAGGTAGGGGTACTGCATCTTTGACTAGGGTCTGAACTCCCTGAGGTAGCCATTGTATCTTATTCGTGTTTCCTCCCTAGCACTGTCTCTCCATTATCATTAGTTCTCAGTAAGCATTTTGTTAGTTTAATATCGTCCTTTGTCTTGAAGGATATTTAACTCCTTTGTAAGAATCTGATATAGGGCTGTCTACGCCATTTATTTTTAAGACAATAAAATATTCAGGTCTGCAGACTACACCCAAAGAAAATAGTAGCAAACCTGTCTCAAGAAAGACTCTTAAGGGGCGCCTGGGTGTCTCAGTCCGTTAAGTGTCTGCCTTCGGCTCAGGTCATGATCCTAGGGGTCCTGGGATCGAGCCCCGCATTGGGCTCCCTGCTCAGCAGGGAGTCTGCTTCTCTCCCTCTGCTTCTCCCCCTGCTTGTGCTCTCACTCACTCTCAAATAAATAAATAATCTTTAAAAAAAAAAAAAAGACTTGGGGCGCCTGGGTGGCTCAGTCGTTAAGCGTCTGCCTTCGGCTCAGGTCATGGTCCCAGGGTCCTGGGATCAAGCCCCGC